ATATATTTATTTTTTTTTTTTTTTTTTTTTTGCAGTGTAAATCATGATGCAGAATTGTAATTTAAGATAGAATTGGTAACAAAAAATTTAATAACTGCTGTAAATAATAATGCAATTGATTTTTCAATATAAATTATAAACATGTTGTCATAATAATATTCATTGTCTCTAATATTACACAAAATGCCCTATTTTACTTCACATTCTTAAAAATGGAGCTAAACGACATGAAACAGATTGTAATTACGCAGCAAAACAGGACTACTATTACCTAATTTGATGATGCTGAGTTTAAAAATATCAGTAGAAACTTTCCATCATGTACATTTTCCACAAAATAAGAATTAAGATTTTTCTAATTATATATATATATATATATATATATATATAATTTGAAAAATCTTAATTCTTTTGTAGTTTTTATTTTGTCTTATCAGCTTTATTGCACTTGTCAAAATAACAAAAGCAGTAAAATGTCAAAAGTTTTAATGACAGAAAGAAATATTCAAAATATACCATTTAACTTAAAAATCTGCAAGAGAGTGAATATGCTCAAATACTTCCTTTAATGCACTTTATACTTTACAAATAAGCTTTTTTTCACTAGATCTGTGATTTTCTGTGGCTGTTTGGATGCAGTGAAACACTCACAGATGCAGAAAACATCAGGTTCATGTTTGTCTCTGGCCATAATTCTGACCTTGAAATCAGGATTAGGAATAAAGTAATGTCATTCATGTGAAATGTGCTGAGAATTGAACACATCAGCGCAGAATTGTAATTTAAGATAGAATTGGTAACAAAAAATTTAATAACTGCTGTAAATAATAATGCAATTGATTTTTCAATATAAATTATAAACATGTTGTCATAATAATATTCATTGTCTCTAATATTACACAAAATGCCCTATTTTACTTCACATTCTTAAAAATGGAGCTAAACGACATGAAACAGATTGTAATTACGCAGCAAAACAGGACTAATATTACCTAATTTGATGATGCTGAGTTTAAAAATATCAGTAGAAACTTTCCATCATGTACATTTTCCACAAAATAAGAATTAAGATTTTTCTAATTATATATATATATATATATATATATATATAATTTGAAAAATCTTAATTCTTTTGTAGTTTTTATTTTGTCTTATCAGCTTTATTGCACTTGTCAAAATAACAAAAGCAGTAAAATGTCAAAAGTTTTAATGACAGAAAGAAATATTCAAAATATACCATTTAACTTAAAAATCTGCAAGAGAGTGAATATGCTCAAATACTTCCTTTAATGCACTTTATACTTTACAAATAAGCTTTTTTTCACTAGATCTGTGATTTTCTGTGGCTGTTTGGATGCAGTGAAACACTCACAGATGCAGAAAACATCAGGTTCATGTTTGTCTCTGGCCATAATTCTGACCTTGAAATCAGGATTAGGAATAAAGTAATGTCATTCATGTGAAATGGGCTGAGAATTGAACACATCAGCTCTAATGAAGGCCACACACACACACTGAAGTGATACTCTGTGTTGAAGGTGGAGCCGTACCTGAACACAGCCCACGGCATCATGATGAGCTACTGGGACGGAGTCCTTCACTACGGTCTGCTCCTCATCATGGTCCACCGCATGACTGCAGGGTAAAACCATTCTCACAACTACATCAACACTGCAACACAACAATGTCAATACATTTATGAGTGATGCTGATATGGGAAGTTGGCATCAAATACTTTTGGGAAGTTGAAGAATGACGTTAAACTCTCCTGGTGAATGTTCAATAGCCATTCAAAACTCTGGGATCAGTAAGATTTTTAATGTTTTTGTAAGAAGTCTCATCTGCTCATAAAGGCTGCATTCATTTGATCAAAAATACAGACAAAAACAGTAATATTGTCAAATTTTATTACAGTTCTAAACAACTGTTTTCTATGTGAATATATTGTAAAATATAATTTATTTCTGTGATGCGCAGCTGAATTTTCAGCATCATTACTGCAGTCTTCAGTGTCACATGATCTTCAGAAATCATTCTAATATGCTGATTTATTATCAGTGCTGGAAACAGTTTTGGAACCTGTGATACTTTTTTCAGGATTCTTTAATGAATAAAAAGTATTGCATTTATTCAAAATAGAAATCTTTTCTAACAATATACACTATGCTCTTTTGCTGTCCTTTTGAATTTTTTATTTATCAAAGAATCCTGAAAGTATCACAGGTTCCCAAAAAAAATAAAATATTTTTTTTAACTGTTTCCAACATTGATAATAAATCGGCATATTAGAATGATTTCTAAAGGATTATATGACACTGTATTTTCAAATATTTAACACTTACTTATTTTACACAATACTTAAATAATGATAAAAAATTATAAAATATTTAAAATGACCAATTTGCAAATATTAGTTGTTGTCCTCTCTCTCTCTCTCTCTCTCTCTCTATGTATATATAGAATACTAGTTTTTACAAAATATTTCTCACTTATTTTACACAATATTTAAAATAATAGATTAAAAACAGTAAACAATCAAATAAAATAAAATAATTAAATATTGGTTGATTATGCAGCCTATAGTCAATATATTGGTCTGTGATTTTTACAGATGACCTGTTGCTTGAGATGTTGTGCTGTTGGTTTCTCTTCATACAGCAAGCCGTTTCGCAGTTTGGCTCTCGTATGGGCCGGATCCATGATCGCCAGTCAGATCGTCTTAATCACAGGCGTTGTAGTAGGTAAGAAACTCAACTTCTCCAAACTAAAATCACAAACCAAATTTCAACATAGTTTCTGATAAAAGTGTGTGACACTCAATAACAATGTTGGAAAATGTGGACGCATCTGTAATCTCTGAGGTCAAATTCAGCTGTATATCAATGCCTTTGTTTCTGTGTTTCAGGTAAATATGGAAAAAACCTCCTCCCTGCTTTCTGGCGAAATGCCCCTTCTCTGGTTTTACCCATATGCTAAAGGATTATAGAATACTAGTTTTTACAAAATATTTCTCACTTATTTTACACAATATTTAAAATAATAGATTAAAAACAGTAAACAATCAAATAAAATAAAATAATTAAATATTGGTTGATTATGCAGCCTATAGTCAATATATTGGTCTGTGATTTTTACAGATGACCTGTTGCTTGAGATGTTGTGCTGTTGGTTTCTCTTCATACAGCAAGCCGTTTCGCAGTTTGGCTCTCGTATGGGCCGGATCCATGATCGCCAGTCAGATCGTCTTAATCACAGGCGTTGTAGTAGGTAAGAAACTCAACTTCTCCAAACTAAAATCACAAACCAAATTTCAACATAGTTTCTGATAAAAGTGTGTGACACTCAATAACAATGTTGGAAAATGTGGACGCATCTGTAATCTCTGAGGTCAAATTCAGCTGTATATCAATGCCTTTGTTTCTGTGTTTCAGGTAAATATGGAAAAAACCTCCTCCCTGCTTTCTGGCGAAATGCCCCTTCTCTGGTTTTACCCATATGGGTGGTGGCAAAGTTTTTCAACAGGCCGAGAGAGCCGTCAATCATTCCTGCTGACAAGGTGAAGTTCCAGATGATTGACAGCACAGTATTGATTCAATCCTATAAGATCCACTGATCAGAACTGAGAATAAACACTCAAACAGATATTTATCCTGAATTACGTGTTTTGGCTTGTAAATATTCATTTATGCATGAATTTAACGGTAAAAGACTAAAAATGCTACAGTAAAAACCTGTTAAATGGTTAACAGGAAATTCCTCTACTATATACGGTGAAAAACTGTATTGGACATTACATGTAATTTTACGGTAGTATACCGTTTTTGGAAGTGAAAAAGACCTTATAATTTACAGTGAATAACCGTAAATTGACATTCCCAGAATTCCCTGCGATACATTTCAAATGTGATGTTTTTTTTTGTTGTTGAAATAACTTTCTTCTTAGTTTTTTCTTATCAGTTTTGTATATTAGGGTTGTGTGTTACACCTAATGTTGTTAAATGAATGTTTATTGCATTATTTCAGTTTCATGTGTGTTACCATGATGGTGTTTAGCGTTTGTGTGAATGACACTGTGCACCTTCTATATATGTTATTATTTAAAAGCTGCTTGTGATGGGCTTTGGTTCATCATGTGACTTTCTCATCACCACCTGCATTTGGTGGTTATCAGTGTATTACAAAGGTACAAAACAGATTTCAGTACTTCAATAGGTTGGTATATTAACATTATTTCAGTTAATGAAATTACGGTATTTAACTGTAAATTTAAATTAAAACAGTAAAACCTAAAACGTTGCTACCATATTTTTACGGTAAAATTCCGGCAACCACAGCTGCCGTTTTTTTACCGTAAATTTTATGGATTTTGTTTTACAGTGCAGCCATTCATTTCAACCATTTATGTGCCTTGAGGTGAACACACTGCCTCGTATGTCTCTACTAATGACCAGTGTTGGGAAGGTTACTTTGGAAATGTAATAGGTTACAGATTACAAGTTACCCTATTGAAAATGTAATAAGTAGTACTATTTCAATTTCTTTATTAAAGTAATATAACTGATTACATTCGATTACTTTTTGATTACTTCTCTAAATTTCTATTGTTTTCAACTGTTAATCATTTTCAAACATGTAAACCCTTACGAAAATTAACCTTATAGTAGTACTCAACACTGATTACTGTCACTTTCGAAATCCTTCATCGCTTGAATTAAGATTATTATTTAATTTTAAATTATTGCATTCATTCAAATTTTAATAAAATTTGTTTGTGAGTGTTTGCGTGTGAAAAAATGTAACCCCCTTTGTAATCGTTAACATTTCCGTAATTTAATTACAATTTTTTTCTCAGTAACTGTAACAGATTACAGTTACATTTATTTTGTAATTCAATTACGTGATTCTGTTACATGTAACTAGTTCCTCGCCAACACTGCTAATGTGGAAGTACTAGTTGAGTTGACAGATGGGTTTGATGTGGTCTGTAGGTGGAGGTGGAGGTGGAGCAGAAGAAAACGCTGCTGTCTCGTCCCACAGACCTGCTGCTCACGCTGGGCCTCATGGGAAGCATCATCTTCACTGCGTTCAGAGGCTTTGTAAGTAGCTACACATCCATCCACGTGTCCGTTTATCCAGCCATTTATTCCATCACTCACTTTTTCTGCTCTCTTATTTTTCAACAGGTTGTTCTTGAATGTTCTCTGGATTTTTGTTTTACCTACATCTTCCAGTACGAGCCGTACATGAAAGACAGCGTCGGCTTTCCAAAAGTCACAGTGAGTCTGATGCACACTTGGGTACATTTAACATGCATTCAGATGCATTAGTAGTATATACTGAAGTACTGAAAGAATGAAGATTGGCAGCTAGCGATATACAGAGATATCACGGAGACGGAAACATGATGGACTGACGGATCTCGTGTCTTGTAGATGCTGGTGTTCCTCTTTTATGTTTTGCCGCTCCTGACGGCGTGTGTTTATGGGCTTCACGCTCCCGGATGCACATGGATGTTGGACTGGACTCTGGTTCTTGCAGGAGCTGTAGCTCAGGTACATATACAGCAACCACTAAAACTATTGTCAACTAAACTATTAAAAATCATTTTCGTGCAGTAAAATAAATCTGATATAAAAACAAATATAAAATCAGATGAAAAATTGTGTTTCATTGGCATCTTACTGAAATAAATGTAAGTTAAAGTACTAAAATTCCTAAAACTGAAATAAAAAATTTACTCTAAATGTAAAATATAAAAAAGCACATAACAAAATTACATTTAATATTTACACTATAGTTATATAGAATATTGCACTAAATATTAGCCAATATTTAATGTTAATATAAATGTATTTTGTTATTATAAATATAGAAATACATTTAATAATATACACATACAAACTGCATTTATAGTAATTATATTAATACCATTATATTTATGAAATTAGTTATAAAAATATAGAATGTTTAATTTTTTTTTTAAATATTTAAAAATGACATTCACAAAAATATTTGAAAATGGAAAATGTTTCAAAATAATCAGATATTGGTTGATTATTCAGTCTGCAGATGACTGAAGATAAAATGAATACTAAAATAAAAGATAATTCAAAATATTAATAAATACAGTCTGCAGATGACTGAAGATAAAATGAATACTAAAATAAAAGATAATTCAAAATATTAATAAATACAGTCTGCAGATGACTGAAGATAAAATGAATACTAAAATAAAAGATAATTCAAAATATTAATAAATACTATAATAGAATATAAATAATACTAAACTTTCATAGGAATTTAGTTTTGAATTATTTAAAACTTGTATGTATAATTGCACAGTTGTATGTAATTGTATATTATTTATATATTGTATATTTTTTGTACTGGTTACAAATTTTAGGTTGAAAATTGGTTCAGGAGAAAATGTCATGAATCAGAGAAAATGTATTAAATAAAGATGAATGTTTTTGCAGACACAGCGATCAATAACTAGTTTTGTTATGGTCGATAACTGATATGACAGTCCAATATAAATCAATACGGTTTTGTTTGAATAAAACTCTTCTCAATTAAACTTTGATCTAGAATTTAGAATCAAAACATAATATTACTATATAACACTTTTTTTTTAAACTGGTATGGTACACTCTTAAAAATAAAGGTGCTTCACGATGCCATAGAAGAACCTTTTTGTCTAAATGGTTCCATAAAGAACCTTTAACATCTGAATAACCTTTCAGTTTCACAAAAGCTTCTTTGTGGTGAGAGAAGGTTCTTCAGATTATATAAGGCTAAGAAAGAGATGGTTCTTTAAAGAACCTTTGACTGAATCAAGGCTCGAAATTGCTCCCATAATTTAATCTGTGCGACCTCAAAATATATTTGGGAGCATTTGTGCGAGTGCATATAATTGTTGTTGCACGTGCGACCTGTTTTAATTTCTCTAAAAACGTTCACAGTTATGTGCCTTCTGTGTGCTGATACGGTGACCGGTCTGCCGTTCTATCAAACGTTACATAACTTCATCTTTACATTCTTAACTTTAATGCAGATTTTAGATTGGTTACTATTAGCTGTCAGTCACTGCTTTCAGCTGTCAGGTGACAGGGAGCTAATGCAAAGGGCTGAAGAAGAGAGACAATGAAAAGAACACTGACAGATTTCTTTTGTAAACCACCTAAAGTTAAAAATAATGGTGCTGGTGATAGCGATCATGTGGTGAATGTTGATCCACCAGCCGAAAAGAAGGCGTACAGTTTTCTGAGAGAATGGTTGAAAGACTTCGAGTGGCTCCGCTATGAAAATGCACTGTGCTCTATACACATTTGAGACGGAGTTTGCAGGTAACACTAGTTAGGTTAGACTAGTGCACGTGCACATTTAGACTGCATTTTTTTCACTGCATGATTTAATCTATTAAAATGCATCACAAAATTCAAGATATGGGGGCTTTATATCATTTCATATAGTTAATATCACACGAAGAGTGCTGTTTTTTCCTCCAAAACTCAGCATGATTACAAATGTGATATTGATTTTATACAAAAAAATAGTGGAGTGTTCCTTTAAAGTATCTTTTCTTTTCATTTTTTTAAAATAATTTCAAATATCAGTTTTCAATGTTTTATGTTTACAGTATTAAAACATTATATATGCATGTGTAACTGCAGGTTAAATGCATTCATGTCCTGCATTAAGCAGTGTGTAAATGCATCTAAATGCCTCTTCAGTTGCAGCTTCTGTGTTTCCTCTGCATTGCAAAGATGAATTTTGTTGATACTGCCTGGTAACAGCCCAAACGTCTTATTATTCTAAATAACTGATTCCTTTAATTAAAAACAACTAGTTTGAGATTTATAGGCCTATCCCAGGGGTGACAAACTCCGTTCCTGGAGGGCCGCAGCCCATACTGCTTTCATTTGCTTGATAACAGCCCAAATTTCTTATTACTCTACTTGACTGATTAAATGTAAGAATTTGACTCAAATGATGATGAACACTTTTAGAAAAAAAATGGCTTAATTGTAAAAATGACCATAAAAGGTAAAAATCTATTTAAACTTATTGGAAAATATTAATTTCTATCACTGCTGTGAACTGACCAGCACACAGAATATGAAGAATATCAAAGTCGGCTGTCCACGGTATAGTCCTTAAGACTACCAGCACAATAACACAAGATCAACACAATAACACACTCAGCAAAATATCGTCTAATTATCGTTATCGATAAAATCCTAGAAAATATCGAGATATCATTTTTTGTCAATATCGCACACCCCTAGCTGCCAGCCGTTCTGCGCAATTGGCAGAGCTGAATGTAAAATTTAACACCGCATACACCATCCTAACCCTCGCAAAAGACGAGCTCTCTCTCTTTCTGTGTTACGAAATAAATCTGTCAGTGTTCTTTTCATTGTCTCTCTTCTTCAGCCCTTTGCATTAGCTCCCTGTCACCTGACAGCAGAAAGCAGTGACTGAGTAATTGACAGCTAATATTAACCAATCTAAAATCTGCATTAAAGTTAAGAATGTAAAGATTAAATATGTTAATATTTGTAGTTGTGGTGCTCATAAATTTTTGGTGGGTGCTCCTAAATTTTTGCTGGTGCTCCTAACTTTTTAAAGTTGGGAGCACCAGTGCTACCAAGTAAAAAAGTTAATTTCGAGCCCTGCTGAATGGTTCTTTGTGGAACCGAAAAATGGTTCTTCTATGGCATCGCTGTGAAGAACCATTTGAGCACCTTTATTTTTAAGAGTGTAATCTCTTTTTTGCTGTCTTTTTAGGACAAAAATGATCTGTTTACAATTCAGATCAGTGCCAATAACGAAACCCCCGCCCCCTAATATTAGCCGATATGATGACTGATAACTCATCTGTGTCTGTGATGTTTGCACAGATGCAGTGGACTCACCTGGGCGCGTCTGTTCACTCGCGCACACCGTTCACCTACAGGATCCCCAAAGACGAGTGGAGGCAGGTGGTCACGCTGAACCTGCTGTACACAGCCGTGCCCGTCCTCCTCGCCGTCCGCTGCTACATGGACCAAACCTTCTTCATGAAGAGCGTTCCTCAGGAGCAGGCCAGCAACGGCAAGAAGAAGAATTAAAACCATCAGCATTCACACGCAAGAACATGCATGCGTCCTCTTTACAGGAGAGAGACTCCGCTGTCAGCTGAAACCACCAGAGATTATTTGTAAAAGCATCAATATATCAGTGACTATATCTGTATCTGCCAATATTAGTGGTTTTGAAATGTCCAGCAAAGCCTTTCTGTCTGATTAGGCTGACGTTTCGCTAACGTTCCCATCAAGTTCAAACGTTCAAAACGTCCAGTTAAAAATGTTACGTTAATGGAACATTCCATTGTATCACTTTGCAACATTAAGGAAATGTTACTTTTGAATGTTCTATGAAAATATAATATACATAAACATAAAAGTTAGACACTACAAAGTTCCATTAACGATGTATAACTAAAGTTTTTGTGCTAACATTTTGATAACATTGGTAAAGACCAGAAAATTTTGAGCATTTTATTAACATTACTGCAAGAACGTTTTTTCATAACATTGAGAGAACCTTTTCAGAACGTTCTGAGAACATTCCCTGTTATTATAAGCAGATACAAGTATTTGGCCGTATTTTTTCCAATTCAAGCAGTAAATTCTTTTTCTATTAGGTTATAAAATATTTCAGTCATAACAGTCATGCATTTTTTTATCGTCAGTATCAGTATGATTCAAATAATATTAGACAGATGCCTGATTTTATTTATTTTATTATAAGCATGGTACTGTTTGTGAACACAAAAAAGGGCAAAACAGTATGGATTTGACATATTATTATTGACCTTGACAAAATAATTGTTGGTTTATCGGTATCGACCAAAATATCAGTCATCCGTTTTTATTTTTTACATGGTGTTTTGTAGCGTTGTTCAAGTGTAAAGTGTGTGAAACAGTTCAAACTACTGATCTCAGCCAGGTTTATCTCTGGTCAGTTGTGGTTTTGAAATGTCCAGCAAAGACTTTCTGTCTGATTAGGCTGATCCCAGCTAACAAAAATAAGTTCTAAGACGTTTCGCTAACGTTCCCATCAAGTTCAAACGTTCAAAACGTCCAGTTAAAAATGTTACGTTAATGGAACATTCCATTGTATCACTTTGCAACATTAAGGAAATGTTACTTTTGAATGTTCTATGAAAATATAATATACATAAACATAAAAGTTAGACACTACAAAGTTCCATTAACGATGTATAACTAAAGTTTTTGTGCTAACATTTTGATAACATTGGTAAAGACCAGAAAATTTTGAGCATTTTATTAACATTACTGCAAGAACGTTTTTTCATAACATTGAGAGAACCTTTTCAGAACGTTCTGAGAACATTCCCTGTTATTATAAGCAGATACAAGTATTTGGCCGTATTTTTTCCAATTCAAGCAGTAAATTCTTTTTCTATTAGGTTATAAAATATTTCAGTCATAACAGTCATGCATTTTTTTATCGTCAGTATCAGTATGATTCAAATAATATTAGACAGATGCCTGATTTTATTTATTTTATTATAAGCATGGTACTGTTTGTGAACACAAAAAAGGGCAAAACAGTATGGATTTGACATATTATTATTGACCTTGACAAAATAATTGTTGGTTTATCGGTATCGACCAAAATATCAGTCATCCGTTTTTATTTTTTACATGGTGTTTTGTAGCGTTGTTCAAGTGTAAAGTGTGTGAAACAGTTCAAACTACTGATCTCAGCCAGGTTTATCTCTGGTCAGTTGGTGAAATCTCAATAAATATGGACTCTGGACTAGTTTACATCACTCTCAGAGACGTTTGAAGGCCGTTGACGCTCAGGGTGTGTCCTGATCGTGTCTGACTGTCTGTGTTTAGTAGTTTCCTGCTGCGAGGACTGTATTTCATTCACTAGAATGATTTTTAAATTAGTATACATTATTAAAACAGTACCTAATTGGGTGAATCTCACAAAAAAAAAACCTATCCGGGATGAGAAAAAGTATTTTTTTATATGAAGTATAAAGCTACAAATGATGTCCTTTTGTCAAATGTCCAAATATGACCTGAACATGTTCTTGGCAGATTCACCCAAATGTTTTACTTGATATTTTTTGTAGGATTTTCTGTTGTATAGTTTTTTTCTCAACACTTTTCTGCGGTACGTGTGCTCTTTGCCTGTCATGATCCCTCATATCTCTTGTCTTGTGAAATTCGCTGTTTATTATTCTTCACATTGGGCTCTAAAAGGAACGCCGGGGCACGGGTTCAGCAAGAGACGTTTGAAGGCCGTTGACGCTCAGGGTGTGTCCTGATCGTGTCCGACTGTCTGTGTGTTTAGTAGTTTCCTGCTGCGAGGACTGTATTTCATTCACTAGAATGATTTTTAAATTAGTATACATTATTAAAACAGTACCTAATTGGGTGAATCTCACAAAAAAAAAACCTATCCGGGATGAGAAAAAGTATTTTTTTATATGAAGTATAAAGCTACAAATGATGTCCTTTTGTCAAATGTCCAAATATGACCTGAACATGTTCTTGGCAGATTCACCCAAATGTTTTACTTGATATTTTTTGTAGGATTTTCTGTTGTATAGTTTTTTTCTCAACACTTTTCTGCGGTACGTGTGCTCTTTGCCTGTCATGATCCCTCATATCTCTTGTCTTGTGAAATTCGCTGTTTATTATTCTTCACATTGGGCTCTAAAAGGAACGCCGGGGCACGGGTTCAGCAGGGAGAAATATTTATAGCATTGCAACACAGTGAAACAAGATTCATTTAAAGATACAGGCATGATCTGATCTGTCACATTTCTTCCTCATCCAATCAAATCTCTGACCTTTGCTCTGTAGCTGAAGACATCGTGTCGCTGGCCCAGTGATCTTTCACACAGATGAATGAAGCCTGTCAGCGTGTTGAATGAACTGATTACATCACTTTCAACACTGTATCTGCAATGTTCCGTTCCTGAGGATAAGAATATCATTGAATTAAATGGTTTAGCCATTAAAAATCATGATGTCATGCTGCGTTATTCAAAGGGGTGGGAATATTTGCTCTGACAATGATTTGATTTGATTCAATTGCGATTAAAAAGATGACATTTTGCTAATGTTCCTATTAAGTTCCTATTCTTCTTTCCTGAGAGAAGAATTGTACATTCACTTCATATCTGTAATTTCTTCTTTTTCATAACCGAGATACACTTACAAGTAAAATGTTGCAATTACCTTTTTTATTTGATAACGACAGCAAATCAGCATATTAGAATGATTTCTGAAGATCATGTGACACTGAAGACTGGAGTAATGATGCTGAAAATTCAGCTGCGCATCACAAGAATAAATTAGCCTATATTTTAACAGATATTCACATAGAAAACAGCTATTTGACATTGTAATAATATTTAACAATATTACTGGTTTGCTGTATTTTTAATCAAATACAAGCCTCGATGAGCAAAAGAGACTGTCAAATGTGTTTTTCTCAGCTCATTTTAACACTTTTTTTTTTTTTTTACCAAGTTCTAACCCTTTCTCTACATGAGTGTGTGTGTTTATATGAAGCTGATATGAATCAGATCAGTCTCACTGGGCTAAAAATGTGAACACTGCCTTTGTGTGAGTCTTATAGATGGAAGAACAGGCCACTGCCCAGAAGTGAGAACTAAATATAGCAAACAATGAGAGTAACTTCAGCACAATCAGATGAACAGAAGCTCAATCTGACCTCATGGACCTGAAGTGGGCGTCAGGATCAGAGATGATGGAAGAGAGACAGACAGCAGAACATAGATTATTATAGATATATAACACTGCAGAATAGAACAGATCCCTCAGGAATTAAATATCACAAATGAGATCGCTTTAATATCTCAATTGTTTCTAAATGGGAGACTTTTGCCTTGAATAAACAAAAAATGTGCTCACCCTCAAGCAATCCAATATGTAGATGAGTTTGTTTCTTCATCAGATTTGGAGAAATGTAGCATTGCATCAGTGTCTCAGCAATGGATGCTCTGCAGTGAATGGGTGCCGTCAGAATGAGAGTCCAAACAGCTGATAAAAACATCACAATAATCCACAAGTAATCCACAGCACTGGAGAAGAATCTGGAGAAGACAAAAGCTGAAACAAATCCATCATTAAGACGTTTTTAACTAAAATCTGAGTCCATAATCCATAATAACGCTTCCTCCAGTGAAAAAGTGGTCTGGTCTGAATCAGGAGAGAAATCTGCACAGATCAAGCACCGTTTACAAGCCAAAACATCTCTAAACAAATATGTGGCTGGATTTTGATGTGAGAGACAACAGGAGATGGATTTTTTCACTGGAGGAGGAAGCGTTATTATGGATTATAGACTCACATTTCAGTTAAAAACATCTTGATGAATTTGTCTCTGTTGTATTCTCAAGACATTAACTGCTGGACTGGTGTGGTGTGGATTATTGTGATGTTTTTATCAGCAGTTTGGACTCTCATTCTGACGGCACCCATTCACTGCAGAGCATCCATTGCTGAGACACTGATGCAATGCTACATTTCTCCAAATCTGATTAAAAACAAACTCATCCAAATCTTGGATGATTGGTGAGGACATTTTCATTTTTTGGTGAACTGTTCCTCTAAAGTATGCATGCATAAAGTATGTTTCTGGCCTAAATCGTCTTAAGTCGCTTTGGATAAAAGCGTCTGCTAAATGACTAAATCAGCAGATGAATGTGCATCTGTGTGACTGCTGAGGCCTAAAATCACATAATAAATGTAAGTGAGTCCTAATAGAGAACTAGAGCAATAATGAGCAACACAACAGCACAGCATACTAAAATTAACTCTGTATAAAAACTGCTGTCATGCACCGGCCTTTCAGACTATCAATCACAAATATATATCATAATCACAAAATATATCATTAGCATTTTTAGAATTGATTCCCTTATAAAATTAACAAAATGCATCAAGGAAACAAGAGAAATGAATTTGTACACGTTCAGTTTGAAGCATTATTCGTGCATTGAGAATAGACATGCTTAAATTGAGTTTTAACACAAGGAAGCAGGTCACTCAAACAAAACATATGAAATGACAGCAGTTTTGATCCAATCAGTTTTATTGTTGGCTTGTCTCGAGTTTAATAAAGAACAAAAACACATCAACAAACGTGAAGTGAAGCATAAAAACATCAAAGTTTGACCTCAGAAAGCAGATTGATCTGAGCGTTTTAATAAGGGTTTAATAAAGAGATCCAAACATATGCTCGTTATTGTGTGAAATACACATTTCCATGCCACTTCTGCTAGTTATTGTACAAAAACAATACTGAATATGGTGATTAAATGTGATCAGATACTAGAATAAAAAACTACTAAAAAATGTTGTCATTAAAAGCAAGTAAACAGTGATCGTTATGAAAGAATAAATTAGTAAAGACAATTTATTTACAGAAGAAAGTGGATCTTATAAGCTCAGAGCAAACAGAAGAGTGAGATGGTGGATTATTCGTCATCATGTTCACTAAAGAATACATGTTATCAATAAACACACAGAGAAAACAGACGATACTGAGAGGAAAAGAGATCCACACCAAACACATCTGCTCCAAAACCTAGTGCTCCCTACATAGGCAGCATCCGAACTGAGACTGAACCTCACAAGTGAGAGATTCGGAAGCACTTCTGTGTTAAACGCCTTTTTATTTCAAGAATTTGAAAACCTTGTATTTTAATAAAAATACAACTCGCACAAATAATGGATAAAATAATGCATTAATTAGAATCAACTTTTTATCAATATTTTCCACCACTGAATGAAATGTGCTTTTAACTTCATCACACATAATGCATTAGATTGAACTGAGCTTGTTGATCTTTCTATCAAAGTGATATTAAAAAACCTTAAGGAAGTTACATCTTTAAGTTGTCTAGGTAAGAAGCTCACTAGGTTTACGAACAGATCCTGAACTGCAAAAAATGACTTTCTTAATCAGTATTTTTGTCTTGTTTTCCAGAACAAATATCTAAACATTCTTAAATCAAGACACAATTACTTGGAGAGCAAAATTACTTAAAATATTAAGTAAAATATTATTCAAATTAAGTGAGTTTATGCTTAAAACAAGTAAAAATATGTGTCAGTGGTGTAAGAAAAATTTACATTTATTAAAACTCAAAGGGAAAACATTTATTTTAAAGTGTTTTATTAACCATATTTCAAGGTTGTATTTGTTGTACTGAGCTTCATTTATGCGAAATTTCTCATTTTAACTAAAAACTTTTTATTTTTTAACTTTGAGATTTTTCATTTGAGGAAATCTAAATTATTTAAATTTTTCAGAAAACAAGAATTATATTTTATTAAAATTAAGCGAGTTTATGCTTAAATATCCACAAATAAAAATGTAATTCAAATGGAAAACAAGTTTATTTTTCTGACCTATTGACATATATTTTCTCATTTTAAGTATAAACTCACTTAATTTTGATACCTTTGTTTAGAAAATAAGACGTAACATTTTTGCTTCTGAAGTTACTGTATCTTGATGTAAGAATGTTTAGATACTGGAAAACAAAACAAAAATACTGAATATTAAACTCATTTTTGAGTCTCATCTGTAGTTTAAAAAACACTTAAAACTGCATAAACAAAACACACCAGAAACACATACAGTTATCTCAAATACACACACACACACACACACACACACACACACACACACATGTAACCAAGCAACAGGCGTGTGAAATGAACTACAACACGTCACATTCACACACGCTTCAGCAGGTGAGAATAAAATCAGATCAGATCGTGTCTGAATGAGACACGAGAGCCTGCGGCCTCAAAAGCACCTGGTAAAGTATGTGAACACTCACTCACACTATTTAAAATGTGTCAGAATGCAATTTGTAAAGTATGTGTTCATGCATAAACTTTCTTCTAGGCTCTGTTTTCTCTTTCAGGTCGACGTATTGATCTTTCCGAGCCCGGTTAAACTGTTGACATGTTTGTATGAAGTGACCTGAATGGTAATAAAACTGAGATCTGAAGGAAACTCTATCGCCCTCTTGAGGACTCAGTGTGTCTGTGTTTGTTTCTGTTCAGAGAGTCAAATCCTTCTGATTCAGATTCAAGAAAACAGAAACGATTCACCTGAATCACGCTGAACACAGAGATAGTTTGACGTTCAAGCACCTGTCAATCATCTCTGTTCCAGATCTTTCCGATGCTTCATCACAGTTTATGTGAGAAGATAAATGAACTGATTCAGTTACAAACTCAGTTTGTAAGTTTTTGCTCATATTTCACCCCAACATCAAAAAGAAATGAGAAATTACATTTTGCATAAAGCAGGGTTATTATAGGTGAACTAAAACTAAAATTAAAACTAGTAAAAAAACATTTTCATTGCTTGAAATTTTTTTAAGTGAAATTAAAAAATATATTTTACAGCTACTTGCCAAGGCAACATTTTTCATTTTAATTTAGTTTAACTTGATGTACCAAAATAGCTCAAATTAAAATAAAACTTAATAAAAACATTACAAAATTACTAAAACTAAGTACTTTAAATGAAAGTAATTTAACTAGGTAATTTAAATGAAAACAGAAAATGCAAAAATATAAACTAATTGAAAATATTAATAAAAATAACAGTGGTATAAAGAACTTTTTTATTTTTTTATTTTGATATTACTTTTACGACAATTAAACATGTTACAATTAGCCATATAATATTAATAATAATATATTCAAATTGTAAAGTCAATTTAAAAGTATTAGGTATATTTCATGGTACCATTTATTAATGTTAAATTTATCATTTTAATTAAAAACCTTTTTTCTGGGCAGGACGATTTTTAATCCTCTATCACAGTGATAGAACGGGATTTTATTAATGTTTGGATATTTAATTTGAGAGTAAATGTGATTTAATAATCATAATGCAAAAAAAATTAATAAATGATTTTAAAAACAGGCTTAATTTCCTTTATGAAAAATATAATTTCGTATGTTTTTTTTCTTTTCATTTTGGTCTGAAATGTGAGCTGAAAGTTGCTTTTCTTCATGAAATTCACTCATTTATGAACGTAAGGGGTTTCACTACGATTCTAGTCCAACATTTAGAGTTAAAGAGTTGCAACTGAAACCAAATCATCAGCAAACACTCAAAACGAAGACAAAGTAAAGCCTCATGGGTAAAAAAGAATTCATTATTGTGCCATTCAAAGGCTTGAAGAGTGTCTTATTTCATGAATATGAATCATTTGGGGCAGTTTGGTCATTTAGTATTTCATTAAAGCATTACATCCAAAATATCTAAAGCATAACAAACATGAGCATGAGATACCAGAGCCTTCACCTGCTGCGTGAACAAATTAATACAACTATTCTATGAAGATGAAGAGTCACCATCCATCTGTGTGAAATAACCAATAAAAAACATTTTCTAATGAAGAAGTGAACAGAGGGTTAGTGAAACCTAAATAACAGCGGTAAAAAAGAACGATTATTTCTGTCCTTTCCGTCTGCTGCGTTTCCTCTGACATGGAAACACAGGAACAGAGGTCACGACCCCTGCGTTTAGCCCCGCCCCTCTGGTTTAATCCCGCCCCCTGTGCCCCGATCCATGTCTCCGGTGTCGTCGATGCTCGCGCCGAGATCTGTGGTGTTGCCGACGGTAACGGTGAGATCGCCGTGCTGGAGGGAAACAAAATGGTCACATGACTACATCTGATTTGCATTTACATTGAACATTTGGCAGACGCTTGTATCCACTGAAGGTTTACATTTGATTGGTTCAAGCGCCATGCTCTATTGTTCAACTTAGAAGCAAGTACCAAATAACCAGTGAATTAACCGCTTCTGACTGCACTTACGGCATATTTAATACTTTTACAACCATAATATTACCATTCAAAATATATTAAAATTAACATTTCATTAGATGCAAAATAGTTTTTGTCCACAATTCAAGTCAAATGTATTTGTATAGCACATTTCTCAATACACATTGTTTCAAAGCAGAAAATCTTGATGTTAAGGTTTATAATATCTTAATATCTTCATGTCTTATAGTTGCATTTAGCAGATTAGAGCTGTGTGAAAATATGATTCACATTTTGTGACGACACAAGCAATACAAGAAAAAAATACAGTATAGCGTTAGTATACTGTATCTATGCTGCAAAAGATGATTTCTTGCTCATTATTTTTGTGTTGTTTTCCAGTACTATTTCTACAATTATCTAAACTTTCTTAAATCAAGATACTTAAGAAGCAAATTGACTTAAGATATTAATGCATCAGAATTAAGTGAGTTTTTGCTTAAAAGATGAAAAAATATCTCCTAATGGGGTCAGAAAAATAATCTGGTTTTCCCTTTGGCAGATGTTTTGTTTTAAGTATAAACGTCAACAAGACTCAATATTTTAAGTAATTTTGCTTCTCGAGTAAATGTGTCTTGATTTATGAATTTTTCCTGGAAAACAAGACAAAAACACCGAGGAAGAAAATCATTTTTATACTTATATATCCATACATTATACATTTTGTGACAAAATAAAACAATACATAATATATATTGCTTTATGTGGGTGTATGTATGCAGAAAATATATATTGCTGCTTGTTTTCTTTAAAAAAATAAAAAATAAAATAACACTTGCTTTCTAATCTTTTTGTATTCTATCTGTTTTCTTTTTATTTATTATTTAAAAAACACTTGCTACGTGTACTGCGTTAAGCTAACTGAGACTTGTTATAGCACTTGTATATCATTGCTCTTTTGTTGATTTTGATTGCTTCCATTGTCCTCATTTGTAAGTCGCTTTGGATAAAAGTGTCTGCTAAATGACTAAATGTAATGTAATGTAAATGTAAATATATAAAGTGCAGTGCAATAATACAATTCACATTTTTGTGGCGATATATGAACAATCACAGAGATGAGATTTGCTATACAGTATGTACTGTATGCACGCAGGTAAAGTAGGCTGTATTATACATGCATCTTTTAATACATAGCTGAGTGGGTTACATTTTTCAACGATATGACAATAAAGCATGGTGCTACCTTAGTATTTTTAAGTTTCACACTCATCAAAAAGCAGATTGAGACTCACATTTAGTGCAGATGATCTTGGGTCTTTCCCAGGTCCCGGTGGGTCGGCAGCGGACAGTCGGGATGTGTCTCTGGAAGAAGCCGTCGGCGCACTGGTACCGAACCACCGCGTGGATGTCGTAGTGTGAGCGTCTGCGGCCCACTAGAGAGGCGTTATCGACGGCAGGCGGAGTGCCACACATCACTGCAAACACACAGACATATCATAGATCATAAACCATCAGTGCTTGTCTAACGGAACTGATCCTTAACATGCAAAAACTTTAAAATAAAAATTGAACTCGCAACATAAATGTTTTTTTCCCATCAGAATATCAGCCAATTTGCATTCCACTATTTAACAGAATCACATTTTATTAAGCGAAATAGTAATTTTGGTTAATTCTGGTTATTAAATTAAATGTAATTAATTATAATTTAATTTATTTTGTTCTAAATATGATTTAATTCATAATTAATCAAATTTAAATATAAATTAAATTGTTTTGACATTTATATTTGAATGTAAATTAAATAACACTTATAAATATAAATGTATAAACAAATTATTTTAAAATATAAATTCAATATATTTTTTATATTTAAATATAAATTCATTAATATAATTTAAATATACATTTAAAAATATAATTCAATATAAAAGTTGTTGCTTTATAAAAGCGGATATGCAAAATGTGCCAATAAAAACAGCAGTTAAGAGCATGATTAAAACAAAAAGGTCAAAAAACTCAAATCCAAAGTTCTCATGCATTTCATATTTTGCTCTTTGGCAAGCTACAATAAAGGCTTTCGTTTTTTCACCCGACTCTATGATGTTCAAAGAGTTGATTTTTGCCTAACTGCATGCAAAATAACCAAAATTTGTACAGCCTTTACAAAACACATCTATGTGTCAAATTTTTTGCATGCACATTCATGACCCTAAATGAGAAAAAAAATTTCAATATGAAATAGTTTAACTAGTGTTTCAAAAAAATTCGAATGCAGCTCAAATTTGCAATCGACTACAAATAAACCTGTATTTTCTGTATAAACACTTCAGGTTCCAGGAGGGAAACTACAATTAATTAAATGTTAACCTTTTCAATTTAAATGAAATGAAATCCTGCAATCCAGGCACAAACGCTGCATCTCCAGACAATGAGCCTGATTTCCATAGGCAGGGAGCCACCAGCCGTAAATCTGTCCTCTGGCGTCCAGATCCTGGATGTGCCACAAAGGACGGCATCGTGGGAAATGTAGTGCAGAGCCCAGAGCTTAAACCCACAGTCTGAGCCTCTGAATACTCGTACCCTAAAAACTGAGACCTCGTTGTGTGGAGCACTGAAAGACAGAGTTTAGTCTCTCATTCAGAGTCCATTGAGATGCCACACAGAGCTGATGAAGCAGGACTGAGGGGCGATATGAGACCGAACACTTGCTGAGGAATCAATGGACACATCAAAACACGTTTAATCTGTGCTACTGGTGAGATGATGACAGTCAAAGCGACATTGAGATGTTCGTGCAGTTTATTAAGTGCAGCTCACACACACACACACAGGATGATCGATAACCACTTAAACTGGAAAACACGCTCGGTTCTGAGGTGTGTGTCAGTGAAGTGAGTGTTGGACGATGCATTAAAGCTTTAAAGAGTCAGAGAAGATTACTGGCTGCTAATTCAACTTTATATGTACACGGTTTATGCCTGTTTTAAGACTAAGTAAAGAAAATGTAAGAAATAAATTGAAGGGAACACAAAACCCCCTGACATTCTTCCTCGGTATTTTTGACATTTTCCATTTCAAATCTCTAAATATATATATATTTTTTTTTGGGCAGTGCATACAACATTTATTCTACAACGCCGGTTGCACCGCGCTCTTCCGTCACTTAATCTTTTTATTTTGGTGCGTCAATCTGTTATATGACTTCATGATCCGCACTCACGATTTTTTGTTTTATTTTACATTCATCGTTGATGGGAAAAGACACAAACGTTTCGGCTCAAAGCCTTCCTCAGTGTGCAAAACTATTCAATCCCTCCACCCACTTTTCAAATCACTGATTATACTGACGTCATCATTCATTAGCCAGTGTTCAATTACTAAAATCATTCAATCATTTCCATCTACAGTGTGAAAAACAATGATTGTTTATGATGATGTATTTCTGATGTTTTGAATCAGTGAATTTTCCATTGTTATACATTTTAAAGTCAATTGGTGGAGTAGATACTAACGGTTGTTTACTTAAATTACAAGATTGTATAATAGTGATAAATATATATTTACATTTAGACATTATAATTATAATTATTATATTTATATCTTATAAATATAAGATCCTAGATCATTTTTGTTTTAATCATGGATATATTGTGTGGTGTACTAGTGGAGGTGATGTTGTATTTAAATAGTATTTAAACGGAAATGATTGAATGATTTTAGTATTGAACATTGGCATGATGACGTCAGTATAATCAGTGATTTGAAAAGTGGAGGGATTGAATAGTTTTGCACACTGAGTAAGGCTTTGAGCCGAAACGTTTGTTTCTTTTCCCATCAATGATGAATGTAAAATAAAACGAAAAAAGAAGACTGTTTTCGTGAGTGCGGATCATGATCTCCTATACAACATTTACTGCCATGACTTTATGAATTGAAGACATTCTGTTCTGATTTAAGACATTTGTAAGGCCTTAAATTATATATATATATATATATATATATATAATATACCTTAATGAATAAATTACTAATTAATATTCTAAAAATGAATATTCATATAATTGATGAATATTCATGTTTTTTTAATAAAAAATAAACATAAAATAACAACAACTAAAACTGAGTAAAGTAAATTAAAATGAATAAATACTATAAAGACATTAAAAAACTAAGAAAAATACAACACAAAAAAACGAAAACTTTAAAATGAAAGTGAAAACAGAAGATCTAAAAATAAGATCTAATAATAAATAAACAATAATAAATAAAGCACAATATTAAATTATCTTTATTATAACACAGTTATATATTAATTACTACATTACTAATAATTAATTAAAAAAGAATATCCATATCATTATTATTGATGAATATTCATAAAAATAACTGCAACTAAGTAAAATAAATAAAATGAATAAATATTAGAGTAAAGCACAAAAATAAATGCAACTGTTTTATGTAAAGAAATGTTTACACTTTTTATAACTTTTTATAACTATGATAAAATAATGTTCGAAAAGATTCGCCTCTAAATATCACATTAAACACGTGTACAGCGCTTGACCATTTTACACACTTGATTTCCAAGATCAGTCATGTTGATATTCATCAGTAAAAAGGAAAAGCAGCTACTGAGGTCATATCCTGTTTCTTAAAGCCTCGCAAGGTTCTTCTGCTCTTCATGAATATTTGAATCGGCTCATGCATTATGCAGATGATTTCATGGCGAGCCGCTCTGAAAGTGAGCTCCAGTTTCCCCTTCACTGCTCTGTTTAACATGTGCTGCTCACATCTCAGTCATGAAAACAAATCATACTGCAAACGTACAGTATATACGTCCTCAGAGAGATCGAACAAAACACTCATCATTTACTTCTTTCTTCTGCTGAACACAAAGGAGACATCATTTCCACACAATGAGAGCGAATGCAGACAGACACTGTCATCTCCTTTTGTGCTTCACAGAAGAAAGAAAACCATGAAGGTGAACGATGAACTATTATACTAAAATATCTACTAGAAACGTTTGTTACCAACCCAGCATGCTCATTTAAAGCAATTAGATATGTGATTTAATCATAATAAAAGCACAAAGTGAATTAGCATTGGCTTTCATCTCATTGCTGTCGTTACTGTCTCAGAACACACTGCAGTCAACATAAACCCCTCAGCCTTCCCCTGACCTTTGACCCCCAAACGCCCACCCTTGTGTCTCACATGATGGACTGCTTGACCTCTGACCTCAGTATTGACCTCTGTCTACATGACAGCTGGGCCAGAATCCTTCTCAATAACTGGATTTGTTAAACACAGATACTTTATTCAGAGAAAAGGCTTTCGAAAGAAACTACATCAAGTTTCCAGCTTCTCAGGTGAGAAAAAGAGCCTCATGTGTCTCATCAGAAGACATCTCAACAATGTCTCAAACTGTGCTCAGATTTGAAAAGATACCAAAGTCTGTAATCAAAATTTAAACTCAAGCATTTCTCGTCAAATGATCCGAGCTGCTCCATGCTCATTTTAAAGCTCGAAACTCTTACTGGTGTTTTGTCAACTAAAATGATTAAAAATAGTTTGCAGTAATTTACATCAAATAAAATATTAGAGTAGAGTGAAAAAAATTTAACTCGAAAAACTAAAAATCAAAAGTAGAAATGTTGCCATGGCAACTAACCAAAATAAGTACAAAAAAAAAGTAAAACTAAAACTTAAATAAAAATAAAGCTAAATAGAAATATAAAAACCCCTCAAAACTGAAAAAAGACAAAAGCACATAAAATGACTAAGCCTTAAACTAAAATAAAAATGAAAACTGAAAAAATGTTAAAAAGCATTTTTTTTTAATGTTAATACTTGCTATAATAGTATAAAAATAACACTGAAATGTACTACACTGCACTGGGTGATCATTTGTGTCTATTTTAATTTCTCCTAAACATTTAAAAATATAAATAAAAAATAAAATGATAATAATAATATTTGAACATTTTCCTCTAATTATGAATGCAGATTTCAGTAACAAGAATATGATTGTAAAATCTGAATCTCCAACATTTATACACCCACACTTTCTTTTGTAACAGCTAAGTTTAATGATTTTTGAATGGCCTTTCCAGTTCTTCATAATTACTGGTTAAGGACTGAAAAAAAATCATATTCTAGACATTTTTGGTGTGAAGTACTCTTTTTGATTTAATAGATTAAGGATTCTCAGACATTTTGGTTTACGTAATTTCATAAAGTTTCCAGATATTAGTGGCTACTGAAGGACTTTTAAATCATTTATAGAGATACAAAAAGCAATTTCAGTTCTAAAAAAATAAATCACTGTTTTAAAGTTTTCCAAGATCCTTGTGAAATCATGCTTGTGTTGTGATGCTAAGATGAACTGCAGGCTTTGCTATTTTAAATTATTGACAGAAACACTTTTTATGAACAGTCTTCTCTTTTTACACTTCTTTATAAAAAGTAAAGGGCAAATGGACAGACTGTACAAGATGAAACAGCACAGATGGTTCATGAATTCCCCACTGACACTTTGACCTGCTACAAACTATCATGGGTAAACAACAATTACACATCCACTTATCCTAGTGTGTGCAGAAACACATTTCTGTCAAGGGTTTTAAAGGAACAGTTCACCCAAAAATGAAAATTTACTGAAAATGTACTCATCCAAGATGTGGATGAGTTTGTTTCTTCATCAGATTTGGAGAAATGTAGCATTGCATCAGTGTCTCAGCAATGGATGCTCTGCAGTGAATGGGTGCCGTCAGAATGAGAGTCCAAACAGCTGATAAAAACATCACAATAATCCACAAGTAATCCACACCACTCCAGTCCATCAGTTAACATCTGGAGAAGACAAAAGCTGTGTGTTTGTAAGAAACAGATCCATCATTAAGATATTTTTAACTAAAATACTCCATATTACATAATAATAACACTTCCTCCAGTGAAAAAGTGGTCTGGTCTGAATCAGGAGAGAAATCTGCACAGATCAAGAACTGTTTAAACACCTCTAAACAAATATGTGGCTGGATTTTGATGTGAGAGACAACAGGAGATGGGCTTTTTCACTGGAGGAAGCGTTATTATGGATTATGGACTCATATTTTAGCCGGAAACAACAGTTTGAAGATAAAAACGTCTTAATGATTGACTTGTTTCTTACAAACACAGATGTTTTGGCTTCACAAGACGTTAACTGATGGACTGGAGTGGTGTGTGGATTACTTGTGGATTATTGTGATGTTTTTATCAGCTGTTTGGACTCTCATTCTGACGGCACCCATTCACTGCAGAGCATCCATTGGTGAGACACTGATGCAATGCTACATTTCTCCAAATCTGATGAAGAAACAAACTCACCCACATCTTGGAAGACCTGAGGGTGAATAAGCTTTTAGCAAATTTGTATTTTTAGGTGAACTGTTCCTTTAAACTCTGGATTTGCTCACCGATTTCGCAGCTCTCTCCTGCGTAACCCTGCGGACAGAAGCAGCGGAAACCCTCTCCGTGAGGAAGACACGTCCCTCCGTGCAGACAGCTGCATCTGTCGTCCACTGTTAACAGAAAACACACACACACAGGGTCTGGTGTCAGTGACGCTCTGGAGGTGATCCATCACAATCTGTCTGTGATTATGAAGCTGGCACACACTCGCAGACATACGTGCCCCGCGTGACCCGCTGAAAGACGGCCGCGGCGAGTCCTGAACGCCCTAATGAGAGTTTAGACACACGTCAGCGAAGCCTCAGGGACAAAAACCTGCTAAATGAGTCCAGTTTTCCAAACATCATCTGTCTTACGTTAAAGCACTGGCACGTTATTGACAGGAACGAGATTTGTACGTTTACCTGGTGCAAACCTCACTGCCATAATGATACCATAAACACTAATATTAGCAGTAATAACAGCGATGATTCATTTAGACAGCACTACATAGCAGTATTAAATTCAGTTTTTGTTTAGCTGTGTTATAAATGAAACCAAATTGCAATATGGCTTCGTGTGATTATCAAATCATAAAAGCTGAGATTTAAATAAACAAATATATGCACTGCATGAACAAAAGAGAAGCTTAAAGAGCTGAATGGTGAAATGTTTGAAAATAAAGAAATGAAGACAGCCATAAATATTAGCATTTCAATTTTAATAATTATAAAATAATTATACTTATTTATAATTATATATTTATATAATAATAATAATAATAATAATTATTATTATTATTATTAACATTAGAAGTAGTAGTATATTCTTTTTCTTATTTTTTAAAACTGTTATATTTTTATTTTGGTTAATATATTTAATAATAATTATTATTATTATTATTATTATGGAAATAAATGTATTATATTTATATTAAAATATATTCTTTATTAAAAAACATAAAATTATTTAAAAATGTACAAGTTTGATTATGCTTTTGAGGAAGAATTACACTGCAAAAAGTGATTTTCTTCCTCAGTATTTTTGTCTTGCTTTCCAGTACAAATATCTAAACAGTTTTAAATCACAATATATTTACTGCAGATGCAAAAGACATAAAATGAAAAATGATCCAAATTAATTTATGCACAAAAAAACAAATATCTGCCAGTGGGGTCAGAAAAAAAAGCCTAATTCAAAGAGAAAATATTTGTTCTTGTTTTAAGCATAAACTATAAAAATATCTTAATTTTAATATCTTAAACTAAAGTAACTGTATCTTATTTTAAGAATGTTCACATATTTGTACAAGAAAACCAGATAAAAACACTTTTGCAGCGAAGTCACTGGAATGACAAAACTCTTCAGTATCTTTTTTTAAAACGTTAAGACACCGCTGCATGTAAGGAACATATTCCAATAAGTTTATGCATGTATTTATCATTTCTAGAGCAACAGCAAATGTTGGTCTATTTGACATATTCCTCAATTCTTTTCCAAGAATTGAGGAATGTTTTTACATTATTTCAGACATGTTGCATGCTGGTCTATTATTGTGGTTTCATCAGTTTTAGATTCACCCCTAAACGTCACATAAAAGACGAGCTGTGATTGGTCAGTTTCTATGTCAGTCAGTTTAAGTGGGCAGATCTTCAGTAGAATAAACTGCAGATCGAAGCAGATGTTCTGATGACATTCAGTCTGAACACACAACACTATCATTCAGTCCTGCTTTCTCTAGAGTCTCTCTTCATTACTCCTCACACACACATACCACAACCGTGTGAGTGTGTGTGTGTGTGTGTGTGTGTGTGTGTGAGTGTGTGTGTGTGTGTGTGTGTGTGCGTGTGTGCGTGAGTGCGTGTGTGTGTGCGTGCATGTGTGTGTGTGTGCGTGTGCGTGCATGTGTGTGTGTGTGTGTGTGTGTGTGTGTGTGCGAGTGTCTGGGTGGGGGGATCATTGAGGCTTGTAATGGGTTTCCAGCAATGAGTTTCAGAGAAGGGCTCATTCTAATACAGCGCTGAATGAGTTTCACCGCTGACCTGCGCTGTGACAATCTCACCTCACCATATACATACAGACAGAGAGAAAATCGAAGATGCAGCGGGCAGAAAAACCCCTGTGTGTGAAAGTCGATTCACAGAATCAAGGTCATATATACATGTTATACATTTAAAGACACAGTCCATCCACACATTCAGTCATCATTTACTCACACTCATGTCCCTCCAAACCTTATTTCATCCATGCAAAACAAAGGGAGATGTTTATAGTAGAATGTTTAAGTTGCTCTTTATAGTACAATGAAAATAGCTGATGAAAATGGCACCTTTTTTGTGAATAATGTGAATGTTTTTTTAAACGCATACATAGAATTACAAAGAACAGCATTTATTCAAAATAGAATCCTTTAGTAGCCTCAAAATAGAAAGTCTTTACTGTTACTCTTTAGCAAATATACACATCCTTGCTGAATAAAAGTATTAATTTCTTTTTTTATTAATTTTCAGCAAATCAGCATATTAGAATGATTTCTGAAGGATCACGTGACACTGAAGACTGGAGTAATGATGCTGAAAATTCAGCTTTGATCAAAGAAATAAATTATATTTTACAATATATTCATATGAAAACAGCTATTTTAAATTGTACTAATATTTCACAATTTTACTGCATTTTTGATCAAATAAATGCAACCGTGGTGAGCATATGAAACTTCTTTAAAAAACATATAAAATCTTACTGTCTGATCCCAAACTTTTGAATGGCAGTGTACTTTACTAATGTGTCTTTACTAAATGTAGTGTATGTATTTAATTATATATATATATATATATATATATATATATTAGTGGTGTCAAAATTAGCGTGTTAACGCATGCGATTAATTTTTTCAGTTTAACGCTTTAAAAATATTTAACGCAATTAACGCAGGGGCGGGGCTAGGGTTGGCCACCCCACTCACAACTGCTGCTTCTGTCACTTTTTCTCTTGAGAAGACGTGCATTTATTCAGTCGCAGAATGACTGAGAACGGGAGACGTTTCAGACACACGCTCCAGCTTCTCTTCAGCGCCAGGCGTGAGTCAAGCGAGCGCAAATACAGTCCTGTGCTCGCAGCGTGTGCTCTTCAATTGCACGAACAAAGGCGTCGGCGCGCTGTAGCCTGTGTCCTTTCATATGAAAGTGCGAAATAAACTACGTGCATGCAATGTTGTGGTCAGTTAAGTCATGAAGTTACCAAAAAGGCGATTAAAGCTGCCTTAAAACTGTGCATGCATGTAATATATTTTATATGAGTCACATTTAAGAACATGTCTCTGAAATGGTTAATATGCATTAAGAATGATCACATAATTCAAGATAAGGGGGCAGAATATGAATATATTTATATAGTTAATCAATATCACACGAAGAGTGACGTTTTTTCTCTCTCCAAAAATCAGCATGATTACAAATTATTTTTACGACTCAAAAGGTGATGCATTGCACACTTTGCACAGAAAAATGGCTTTATAAAGGTAAAAAATTCCCATAAAAGGTAAAAAAATCAATTTAAACTTATTGGAAAAGATTAATCTGCTACATGACAATTGGCAACATCAGCTGGAATACTTCAAACCGGAGCTTTTTTAGTTTTATATGCTGCTAAGAAGACACCCCAGAAGATGGGTCAAGTAGCTCCATCATTGGTCAAAGTAAAAAATTAGATCTACATGACAATAGGCTACATCAGCTGGAATACTTCAAACCGGAGCTGTTTTTGTTTTATATGCTGCTAAGAAGACACCCCAGAAGATGGGTCAAGTATAGCTCCATCATCGTTCAGAGTAAAAAATGTGTTTTAATAAATTTTTAAAAATTCTCTGGCATTTCTTTCATTTTGCTGTATCAAAAACGTACCGAACCGTGACACCACTGTATCATATTGAACCGTACCGTGAATTTTGCGAACCGTTACACCCCTAATATATATATATATATATATATTATATTATATTTTTGCTGGGACTCTTTCTGCATGAATACTGAACATAAACAGCTTCAAATATTACAAGAATACAATTTACAAAGATCACAGTCCAGGATCGGTTCACTGTTACTGTCATTTACATCACTGAACGTGAAATTCTGTGTGAATTAACGAACCGCTCAACCAGTCGTGCGAGTTCAGAGCGGGACTATCAGTATAATTCTATTTCTTTTCTTACTCTTTGTTAGTCTGTCTTTTCCACTCTATCTCTTACATTGATGGGCTTTATGAATACTTTTCTCTTGGATGCACTCAGGATCTGTTGTCATGGCAACTGTGCTGCAAGCGGCCGCCAATCATCCTCTCACTCCGCAGGCCACGCCCCCTCCTCTATCAGGCCTGTTTCCCTTCATTACAGCAGCAAACCGTCCCTTCGGCCCTAATTGCTTCATTGGGTTGTTTTTACCACACATGCAAATGAGCTTTGAGGTCCTTGAGGTCACACCAGCAGGGCATGATGGGATATACACAGAGAACTATATGTGACACTATATAATTGCTTTGTGAGGTTAAGAGGGTAACTGCAAATGTGCGAGGGAATTTTTAACAGAGCGACATGCAAATATTGCACGAAGAGAGAGCAAACTCTCTATGTGTGAGTGTGATAATCACGGTAAACAATTACCCATCAGGCAGACTGATTTAATTCAGTGTTTACACAGCTGCAAATCTACTTACACATCATCAAATGATCACAACAGCAGCGGAGGACTCGCACAATCTTCCTCAAAACACTTCAAAGATATTACTAACATGCCGCTTATAATTAATACAAAAACCCTGTTATTTAGATTAAAATATCACACTGCAACAAATACAGTATTTATACTCAGGAGGGAATTGTCTTAATCTTTCGAAATAAAACTAATCTAAACATATCGTAAGTTTTAGACCATTGATATTGATATACTACTATAGATTCTATTCATATTTTTATTTTATTTTTATATTTTCTGTTTTCCTTTTAATTTTAGTTAAATTAGGTAATAATTTTGCGGGTGTTTTTGTCATTTTCATTAACTTTTAAAATGAATATATTATGTTAATTTTTATTTATTTATTTTAGAACATTATTATTAGCTTTTTAAAAATATACATTTATATATAACATGTGTTTCTTTTAATTTTATTTAAATAATTATTTCATAAATTAATTAATTTAATAATTTTGTGGGTGTTTTTGTCATTCACACACACACACACACACACTCACACGCACGCAAGCACACACACAGATTTTATTTCAGTTTTAGTTATTTTAGTACTTCAAGACAAACTAAATAAAAATGAGAAATGTTGCATCAGCAACTAGCTGAAATACATTTATTTTAATATTATTTATTTTTTTATTTAAATATTTCTATTTTAAATGTTTTATGTTTTAGTTTTATTTTATGATAAAAACTATATTATTTGTATTATATTATTTCTTTAAATACTCAATTTTTGTTAAATATTACAATTGTAACATTGTTTATTTTGTTTAATATTTTTATTTAATAATAATAATACATAAAAAATATATAAGTTGTTTTTGTTGTTGTTGTTTTAAATATAATTCCTATAATTATATTACAATATATTTAATACAAAAATAGCTTTAGTTAATAATAGTTAGTTAATAATAATAATATTAAGTATTGGGTTTATTAATAATAATAATAATAATAATAATAGTTTTTTATATAATTCTATTACTATTATTATAGTCAAGTTGAAACAGACCGAAACGCGCTGGATATGATGTGTCACATTACTAGTTAAGCATCACTATTACTCAGAGCAAACCCATGTATTAAAACACTGGTGTGTAAGTGCTGGTGCTACAGACGTGAGCGTGTTTCCTTCACATCAGTCGAGTCAATCAGTTCAGCCCACGGGCCTCATGTGATTGACAGCTGCTGTAACACTAAAGGTCAGATCCGGCCTTCTGCAGGACGACAGACGGGAGACGCCAGAGACATCAGTTTGTGTCAGTGCTGCTGCTTATAACACCAGCAGCTAAATCAATCCTCATGGACGTGACGGCTCTGGTCTGAACCCTGCTGGGCCGCCTCGCTGTCTGTCTGAGGTGGAAAGGCCAGTTAGAAGCAAGATATCCTTCAACACAAGAGTGAAAGCAGAGAGAATGACTGGAGACCAACATATAAGAGCTGGAGTTAAAACACCGCCAGAGATGATCACAGCAGATGTTGAATGCTGAAGTGGCGCACACACACACACACACACACACACACACAACCATGTCGTTCAAGAGCTGGATGAAGTGATAAACTGCTGGGAGCTCAATAATGACTGAAACACACACTGAATCTACAACATGAATCAGTGCAGCACTGTGAGCCTGAGGCACAGCAACCATTACTTAAGATTATTTTCAATAGTTCAGAGATGTCCAAAATCTCCCTACCATTTTTTTGGAGATAAATAATATACTTAATTATATTCTTATATAACATAACATAACATAATATATATATTCCATGGTCTGTCTGAATACTCGATTCTGATTGGTTGGCAGGTATGCATTAAAACCGTTTATTACACAGCTCTGTAGAATACTTGATTCTGATTGGTCAGTCGTGACATTCCGAGGTGTTTTATCCCTCGATAACAACCGGTAAAAACTAATAACACAGGCTCATCCGGGTAACTGAAGTCGGCACTGTACTCTTGCTAGGAACTGTTTTTTCTTGGTGGAAGCTTTGCTTTTGTTTAGCTATTAAAATATTATAACTCAATTCAAAATTGTGTAGAATTATATCATTATGTCATCCTGGTCTCGCGGACTCGCTCTCTCGTTTCATACAAACGCAGCTGCTGCCATTCTGCGACGATAGTTTTGTACGCTGTAATGGATTATAAGATAACTAACAAACTGGTAAGATTTTAAAACATTTTCGTCTTAAA